GGCTCGAACTTTTTTGGACGGAGTGGCTGCACCATCACGTTGAAGACGGACTGTGCGGACGAATTTTCCCTCTGATCGACGGTTCGCTTCAGATCTCGTAGCTGCTTTGCATTGACCGAGGAAGCAGCTTCTTCATCCAGCACTTTCACGACCCGCAGCTCCCTCAATCTGAGTTCACAGGTAACCCAAACCTCACTTCGTCATCAAAACTGTAGGCTCCCGCTTTGAAGCATTAGCGTCGTGGAAGGTTGTCCGATAATTGAGGGCATCGTCCTTATTCAGCTCCATTATTTTGGCATCTGCAGCTATCATGCTGGCGTCAGGGTGGTGGGAGAAAGAGTTTGAGGAAGCGCTTGGAGGGGTCAGTGCCGATGGTAGCGGATAAAATCCTTGTCCATATTGCAGAAGAAGAAGAAGCAGGAGTCAAGCGAGTGGTACTAATAGAAAGACCACTCCTTGATGTATAAGTGCTCACATTACCGTTACCCCTCTTCAGGTAATGGGCAAGTATTTTGAATTCGAAAAAATGTGACAGAACTTTCCCGCCAACCTAATACATCAGTAAACCGATTTAACTCACCTGATCATGACTAATCCGCCAAAATGCCAGTTCCTCCTTGAATTTCTCCACACACATGTTCTGTGGACGATGCAAGCTCCCTGCAAGCAGAAAATTGTTTCTCTGTTGAGAATGAATAGAGAAAAGATTTGTCATGGATTTGATAAATGTCTAACAGGTGGCTCGTTGCACTTTCAGAGATGAAAAAACACCCACACATGAATGACGAATGGAATTCGATATATCGTATCTCCACGACCCTTTTTGCGACGTTTATCCATCCACTTATAGCTCATAGTTCCGAATTTCGACGAAGTGACGAGTTTCAGAAAACAGCGACTTCCTTTCTGAGAAATCCCCCCACCCTTCTCCGCCCCCCCCCCATCTCCCTCAACAAGAAATGTCCATAGGACCACCAAACGGAAACGGGATGAGCTAAAACGCACTGAGTATGGTGTTCTCACTAAACAGGCGCCTTCTCAATCGAAGCGCATTGCACTCTTGGCCTAGTAAAACGATTTCATTCGTGAGTAGAGAGACCGTTCATAACAGAGGCTGCACCTGCGCACACAGTAAAGAGTTAAAGGGAATCAAATGCAACAGGACCCTAGTTCTTAAGCGTGCCCTCCCCCACCATCCGAATTAGCGTTGAGGACGAGTGGACCAGTGCGCCGTCGTCTTTCGTCTCACTCGTTCTCTGTGCTCTATTGTCCAGCTGTGTCTATTGCCTCTGTCAAACGCTCAGTGTTTTTTTCACTACAGGCCCATTTGGTGTTCGAAATTAATTTGGAAGAACAATGGCCTTATTTAAGGCTTTCTCATTGGTTTCTTTACATTTATCATCACAAAGAGGCCTCGAAACAACCACAACGCTATCTT